AACCACAGGTTGCTTAGGAGCTCAGCTGTTGAATGTTTTATGCAGTGAGTTTAAGTCCTTCAGCATAGACAGCGTGATATGTAAATATGCGTTTACGTTCACGTTAGACTCAAGGAGAAGCTTAACACCTGAAGTACTATAATCACACATTCACACTTGACAGATGACTGACAAGTGAGACGAACCTTGTTCAGGATGGCATTTCTGCAAGACCTTCAAACACATCTAAATCTGTGATTATGGAGTTTCGAAGGGAGAATTTTAAGGCCAGTTTCAATGGCAAATGAAGGATATGTTCCCAAGCTTGATGGAACCACCCTTTGCCATGCTGGAGAAGGTCAAAGGCCATTGCTCAGGAAAGAGCAAAGTATAACTGTAACTCAGAACCCGTACTCTATGTTTCCTCCGGGAGTGTTCTTTTCTTTGTTCAGTTACAAAAGTAGCTGATTTTTCAATAATATTTTTTCATTTTCCCGAGAACTAACCTAGTTGTCATATTTGTCCACACCTTGGTGTAAGATACAGACGCATGACAGGTTGTGGGAAGAGCTCTGACTCTGGGATTTCACACCCCGGAGGGGCCCAGGTCACATGACCATCTAGTCTGGATTACTAAAAATACCTTTTCACTCCAAATACTGTACAAGTTTGGATGATAAACTCTATGCTTACTCCGTTTTTGTCATTTGTTTTTGGGGTGGAAGGATCCAACCAAGGTCATCACACCTGCTAAACAAGTGCTCTGTCCTGAGCTCCCAGAAGCCCTCTTTTGTAGTATTTTAAAATCCATCTATCATCTTTTTTTTCTCGCTCTTCTTCCCCTTAGGAACCAGAAGCTAGTTTCCTATCCTTCAAGTATGTGCTAAATCTGGAGGCAGGTATTTGCGATAGAGTAAGAGGAAAATGACAGTGGATTGATGCGGGAGAATTGTCTGTATTCTGTCAATCATATTTTAATAAAACGCTGATTGGCCAGGCAGGCAGTATAGGTGGGAAAACCAGACAGGAAGTAGAGGTGATGCAATGAGAACAGGAGAATTCTGGGAAGCAGGGAGGTTCCTCTGCCATTCCTGCCCAGATCACCAGAGAAGCAACATGTGAGCTGACAGCTGAAAAAGGTACCAAGCCATATGGCTAACATAGATCAGAATAACGGGTTAAGATAAGTCATAAGAACTAATAAGTAGACTGACCTAATGCACCAATCAGTTTATAACCTAATGTAGACTATGTGTGATTTTCTTTGGGGTTTGCCGGTTGTGGGGTACTGGGCGGGACAGAAACCCCAACAAGCTGGCCCCCTCATGTTACAGTGGATGACCTGGTCTATGTCATAAAACACACTCCGGCTCTATTTTGGAACTCTTACTCTCAGAGGAACCAGCTACCGTGTTGAGAAGGCACCCAAATATCCCCTGAGAAGAAGCCACATAGCAAGAAACTCCAGTCTCTCGCCAAAAGTCCAGGAGACAGCCCGTTTTAGGAGTACATCTAGTATCAGTACCACAACTGCAGAGACACAGCCCCACTCATGGCTTCACTACAGCCTACAAGAATCCTTGAACCAGACCCACCAGTTAAGCGCCCCCCCCCCACCTTGCTTCCTAAGCTAGATCCACCAACTAAGCCACTGCCTCTTGTCTGGGGACATTATGGTGACCCTTCTCAATATAGCAGAAGATGGATAACACTGCTAACCATAACTTTTATCAGGTTCTCATTTTTAAACTTCATTAAGCACTGGAGAGTTAACTCAGCAGTTAAGGGCATGTGTTGCTCTTCCAGAGGATCAGAGTTCAATTCTCAGCAACCATGTGGTTCCGTGTGTATAAAATAATATTAATAGACTTTATTGATATTCACCAGAGAGATCTAAGGAAAAATGATCAAACTGATTTTGGACTGATTGAACCCAGATCCTCTCATTATGTTTGGATTCAGCATCGTGCAGCAGAAATCACACAGTAAATTACCTTTAAAGGTAGTAAGTCTCTCCAGGCGTTCAGTCTCTAACAGAAAAGGACACCTTGTGGGATTGTCTGGTGTTTTCAGGGTTAAGTTCTGTGGAAGGCTGCTAGCTGATGATGGGCAGCCAAAGAGCCAGCCAGGCAGTGTGGAGGTGGCTCTCACCTAAGCCTCTCTGCCTCCAAAGCCCATTCTCCACCAAACTTACAAGGACCCTCTGCCACTCCACAAAACTGAAATCTCAGGAAAGGCCCTTATACAGACACAGACGGACCTTGCCTGGATGAGAAAGTAAGTATAAGGCTTTATATCTTGCTCTTAAGTCATTTTTCTTATGGAGTAGTTGATCCCTTCTCACAGCTCAAGAGACATTTCTGTGAAATCTCTAATTGCTCTCCTCAAGCACCTGGTGCCGCTTCCTGTTATTTCCACATCTTTACGGAGCTATTTTATTCATGTTCAGGACCAAGCATACATGTGGCCTCCACCTCCACCACTTTCTTCCGTGACTGGAAGCATAGGGTACCATTGGCAGCGCCTGTCTCCCCTGGGGATGAATGTTAAAGGGCCAGAGTGTCCTCGCATCATTGCTTCCTGGACACCTGCACCACCTGCTAGTGGACTGTGTGCTGTTTTATGGAATAAGTACCCTCATACATGGTTTATTCATTTTTTAAATTCTCTTCTATTGTAGCAAAATGTTGCCATGAATGAATGACCTTATCTGTTGTAAGGAGACCATTTGTTTGTTTTCCAGCCGCCTGGCAGCTCAGACCCAAAATAATCACACAGAAACTATATTATTTAAATCATTGCTTGGCCCATTAGCTCTAGCTTCTTATTGGCTAACTCTTATATTTTAATTCAACCCATTTCAAGTAATCTGTGTATCCCCACAAGGCTGTGGCTTACCAGGTAAAGTTCCAGCGTCTGTGTCTGGCGGGGCTACATGGCTTTTCCCTTGACTCTGCCTCCTTTCTCTCAGCATTCAGTTTAGTTTTTCCTCCCTAGCTCTGTTCTACCCTATCAGGCCAAGCCAGTCTTCTTTATTCAATAACCAATGGTATTCACAGCACACAGAGGGAATTTCACATTACTTATCTTCATCACTTCTGGATAAAACGGTGCAGAGTGATAACCAACCCCACCTTGCTGATCTGCATTCTGAAACCCAGGGCACTGTGGATTACTATTATTATTAATTACTGGCTCAAAATCAAAGTCTATGAGACTCTCCTAGGATATTTAATGATATTCTTTCCTTCTAAGCATCTGTCCACGCTGTTGGCAGAAGGAGAAAAATAAGATTAAATCAACAGTCAAACCTTAAAAACTAGTCAGGTTCCTTATTAGACCCCGTTTTTGTGTCATTTCTACTTTAGCCTTGAGCTTAGGCTAGTTTACCTTTCTTCCATGGGATGTGACAGGAAGTAGAGGGGGAGGGAGCACTAGATTTGGGATTACAGGGTGAGCAACATGTGGGGTATATTGTAAACCACACAGGCAGGAGGGTGGAGAGCCTAGGTTCAAATAATTATGTTAGGTCTCCAAATAGATGTCAAGGTAGCAAATATATCAAACAAACTCATGATGATACCGAAACCCCTGGTCTCCTTTTCTACCACTCTGGGGGTGAAGTGAGCGCAAAGGAGCACAGCCATGTCTTTTCTTTCTTTTCTTAAATAAGTCGGTCGATTTTTACCTTAACCCACTTTACCATAAAATAGCCAATGACCTGATTTGTAGCTGGCAGGCTTATTCCTTTTGGTATTCATCAAATTCTCATTTGTACAATCAAGGAAGAAATGGCTACTTTTTGATAAACAGATTTTTCTCAAGCTTGTTCCATCCTCTCTGGTCTTTGTACCCACTGCTTCCTCTTTGCTGTTGGATACCTAAACTGACTGACCACTCTTGAAAGATGGAGTTTACCCTGCTCCTTGCCCCCCTCCTGCATTGTAGTTAACGGTCAAAAGAGCCAGAAGTGGTCTCAGATACTCATTTTGGTTGCCAGGACAAGGGGGGAGGCAGAAGCTAAGCTAAGACAGAACGCGATACTCAGAGCAGCTGCTCAAGGGGCCGAGTCTCTTCCTCCCACATGTGCCCTAGCTTACTCAGCTTCCCATGGGTGTAGGGTTTCTATTTGCTTGACTGCTGGCTTTCCTAGACAAGTTCTGTAAACATCCTCCTCCCAGTATATAAAAAGGAAGGGTACCAAGGGCATGGTTTCCTCCACTGGAACACAGACCCCACTCTACACATCCAGCAGGGAACCCTGTCGCAGTTATATCTCTGTGGGGAGACAGAGAGCAGAGATCTCTTGAAATCTCTCCCTCAACGGCCCAGTCTGGTGTTTTGGTTTTGTTTTGTTTGTTTGTTTTTACCTTTCCATTAATAAATTTTCTTTCTAAACCTCTCCTGTAGTATGTGAAAGAATTTGTCCTGACCCTAATATAAGTGGTAACCATAAAGACACCCATCTTCCATGACAGGTGGCAATCTCCTATCTTACTTCATCATGTAAGAACATTTTAGTGAAGGATGGACTTTGTGGGAAAATGGAGTTATTGTCTGACTTCCCCTCATATCTGCACTGGGAATTCATTCCAGACCAGCTCGGGAAGACATCTAAGACAAGGTCTGTGAACTTTCAGATCATCACCACAAGCTAAAAAGTCCGGTCTAGCTGACAGCTACAGAGCAAAGGAGACAGAGTTACAGCCACAGCCATAAACTGTAGTATGAGGGCCGGCTTGTTGGGGTTTCTGTCCCGCCCAGTACCCCACAACCGGCAAGTCCCAATGAAAAATCACACACAGGACTCCATAAGGTTATAAACTGATTGGCCCATTAGGTCAGGCTACTTATTAGCTCTTATAACTTATGTTACCCCATTATCCTTATCTACGTTAGCACATGGCTCAGTACCTTTTCCAGTGGGGCAGCTTACATCTTTCCTCTCCGGTGGTCTGAGCAGAACTGCAAGCTTCCTGCTTCCCAGAATACTCCCAGTCTCTTTGCTCCACCCCTACTTCCTGTCTGGCTTTCCCGCCTATACTGCCTGCCTGGCCAATCAGCATTTTATTAAAATATGATTGACAGAATACAGACAATTCTCCCACATCAATAAACCACCTGCCTGGCCTCGAGGAGACCAACATGCACAATGGCACTCTCAGATAGGACCCCATTGCCCCACAACAGCATCCTCACAACGTCTCCGTGGAAACAGAGCATCCAAGGCAAGAAGCACTGCCCTGTACCAAATAAACCTGTCCGCCCAACAGATCTCCATAATTCTAGGAACCAGTCAAAGAAATCAAAAGGTGTTTCAGGCTGAGTGCCAGATGAGACTTCTTCACTGTAACATGCGTTTCCACCCAGGCTTCCGAGGTGGACAAAAAAGAAGGATGAAGCTCGATTCCTGCATGTGCAATCAGCAAGGCTGGCATGTCGCGTCTGCTCCATATTCTGTGAACATTTGCTGAGGGAACAAAACAGATGTCACTGACTGGCTTGATAAGGCACAGGTCTCCAGAACATCAGCTGTCCCCACTTCAAGGTCACTTGGTATTTTAGACAGAGAAGCTGAGCTCCAGGTGGGTACCGTCAGTGGTGTGAAAGGACGTGGTTTCACGTGGGCCTGAGTCTGGAAAGAATTTGCATCTTAAGTTGCCAGTAAAACCTTTCTCAATGTGAATTCTCAAATTAATGAGGAGCCTAAGTCATTCAGAGAGGCATTAAGTCTTGATCTTGGGTTCACAGTATCTGCCAACAGTTTATAGAAGGCCTTCTAGTCGGCTAGGGAAATCTCTTAAAGGGGAACTTTGAGGATGATTTGTCAAGCATGACCCTCTGCCACCTGACAGAAAGAAGAAGACAAACCCTCCTCTTTCACACTGCTGACACAGAGCAGCAGATCGGTGGTGAATAGGAAGAACAGTCTGACTGCACTACTGCTTGGAGGAAGTGTTGTAGGATAACCAGAGAAGACGGCTCGGACTTGGGTTTAAGCCAATAGAAATGCTTTATCAGCCAGTCGCTCCACTGGGTGTTTGGGGTACCAGTGCAGCGCCTAGTCTTTCTCATACTGAGCTTTGAAGCACAAAACTATGTTCTGGGAGGACACTTCAGTGAACAGTTAGCCAGAGTGGAACTCCAGAAGCCAAAAAAAAAAAAAAAAAAAGGTTAGTACATTTAGAGACTTTTCCAAAAACATGGACTTTGATAGATTAGGCCTTTGTTTTAGTTTTGGCAGGTGGTGCTGTCTACTTGCAAAGTTTTACAGTCTGGACGGTACTTCCACCATGAAATCAGCTGTGCTAAGGTCCGGGGGCCTGATAAAATTTGGGCCTGTTATGGGAAGAGCATGAAAAGTCCACTTTTTACAATGTTATTTCTTACAGAAGGTACACTGAAAGTCAATTCTTTTGCAAAATTAGTATACTCTTATTTGATTTGTTCCTAATAGGAACCCTGAAAATTATAACTTTAGCCTACCTTCTAAAGATAGCCCAGAGAGGGAAAAAAAAGTGGCATTCTTTTGTTTTCGGCTTTCTCTAATCTGAAGGCTGCAGTTAGTGCCGACTTTGGAAGATCCAGAAGCAAGTCTACTAGCGTCGTTCCTTGGGGGCAGTCAAAACCCACAGAAAGCACATTGTTCAGAAGGAAGTAGGGATTCCTCTTCTACTCTTTGGCTTCAAGGAACACAAACAGGGTGTATGTTAGGTCTGTAATTAAAGCATGCTATTACATTTTTCTTACACTGCTTTAGAGTGTTTCCATTACTGCAGTTAGGGCCCCACACTAAGTGAGTATCAGTTGTGCCAGGCTCTATGCAAATGTAAGGCTACAAGTTCCACACTTCAAAGTTCTGAGTGTAAGAAGTTACTTCCCACTTCCTGCTGTTTGCACGGGGTTAGCTTTCTTTTTCTTCACAGTATTTGGAAGGAAACCCAGAACCCTGGGATGACTTTATCAGTGAGCTGTGCAGTCTGGCCTTGAACTCACTCCACAGTCCTGGCAGGCCACAGCTGCCGGAGTGGCTGTGGTTTTAACCTGGTTCCACTGGGCCCAGACGAGCTCTTTACAATGCTCATGGGACTTTTGCATATAGGTTTTTATTCAGTCACCATAGACTGTGCATGTGGTGGGTCAAAGCCTCTTTGTACATATCCAGATGTGTAGACCCTCTGTGCCTTTTTCAGGGGAAGCTGCAGTCTGCAACGGCAAGAAAAGTAAATTCACTGTGCATGGGTTCTCAAACCAATCATAAGGGACCCCAGGTTCTCCTTACTCGTTCTTTCCCCTCTGTACATCCACTGGAGCTTTTTTTTTTTTTTTAAATAACTTCTTTATTTGCTCTTTGGGAGTTTCACATCATGCACCCCAATTCCATTCACCTCCCATCCCCCATATCCTCCCCTCATCCCTGCCACGCCCCCCACATAAGGAAACAAATCAAAGTAAGCAAGCAAACAAACAAAAAAACCCCCAAAAAGTAAAACAAAACCCACAACAGGCAATGGAGGCCTCTCTGTCCCTTCAGTTTTACTGGCAAATGTCTATTGCAGAGTCGCTGGTCTGGTTCAAGGCCTCTGGTTTCTGGTCCACCATCATCACTGGATCCTAACTGGAACTCCTCTGGGAGAGCCTGTGGCCGCTGAGAGTCTTGGAGATCTTCCTGGTGTCGTCCTAGATGGGGTAGATGCTAGCGTGGATCTACTCAAGACCTGACTTTGAGCCTGGATGGTAGTGAAGCTAGTCAGTCTGGGCCACCCACCTCAGGCAAGAGGGTGGAGTCAGCTCCCCTACAAGCTTGTCCTCGGGGTGGGTTTATCATGGCCTGTGGTGAGGGATGGGGGGGGGGCATCTCTCCAGCTTGCAGGGGCCAGTTTTCTTGCTGCAGTTTCCGGTGAGAGGCAAGGCCAGCTTTCCCAGAGCCGGCGAAGGGTGTGGCCGACTCAGCCTGGCCCTCTGATTTTATCTTGCATGGTTCCTAGGGCTTCCTGAGGTGACACAGGCCACAGACACCAACTTGTTCCCAGCTGTTGCTAGGCCACGAATTTAGACATGGCCCTCAGCAGCCGCTTGAACCTAGCCGACATCCTGGCTCTGGGTAGAGGGAGTGGCCACTTGGGTGGCAACGGTTGTGGTCCTAACCTTAGGCCTCTGTGTGATCTTTGGTGTCAATTAAGGACCTGGACTTAAGCACAGACCCCAGTCATGGTAGAACCATGGACTCCAACATAGTCCGTGACAGTGGCTGGGTCTGGATGTCACCACTGCCCCAGCGGCAGTATGGCCCTGATACCAACATGTCCCTTGATCTCTGTTGTCTATACTGGCTTCGATGGTAACAGGTACATGGGACCTCACACAGACCGTGACTGCAGTAGGGTCACGGACCCTGACATGGGCCTCAGCTGCAGCTCTGGCCTGGAGGACATCATGACGTTGAGTAGCTGGCCACTCAGATCACGATGCATCCTGGCCCTCAGACTTCTACCTGGACTCAGGCGGCTGGGCATCCTCATGGCCCTTAGTGGTGACAGGAGCCCCATCCACTGGACTGTTAGTGGGTATATTTTTAAATTATATAGGCTCTTAACTAGTCTGTGTCATTTAGTATAATGGATTATATCTGCCCCCCACCTCGTGTGTGTGTGTGTGTGTGTGCGTGTGTGCGTGTGTGTGTGCGTGTGTGTGTGTGTGTAAGTAGAGGCAAAAGGTGTCTTTCTCAAACATTCACCTTTTTGGGAGGAGGGGGAAGACTGTCTCTTTGATCCTTGGGCTCACCAGTTTGGGCAGACTGGTGGTCAACTCCAGGGATCCTCTTGTCTCGGTTTCCCAGCACTAGTCTGGCAGATGTGTACCAATGTGTGCCAGTGTGTGTGCCAGGGTGTACCAATGTGTACCAGTGTGTGTGCCAGTGTGTACCAATGTGTACCAATGTGTGTCAATGTGTGCCAATGTGTACCAATGTGAACACTAGGGACCTGAACTCAAGTCCTCATGTTTGTGTGGCAAGTGCTTCACCGACTGAGCCGTCTCCACAGCCCCACACTGGGGTGAAAACCTCCATAACCCTACAACTCTTACATTCCAGTGTCCATAAAAACAGCACCTGGAATGGCACCAGGTGCTTGTGCCTGCTCGCACCGCAGCTGCAGTGGCTTCTGCATGCTCAGGCAGCCGACAGCCAAGCCTGGAAAACGCTTCCCTGGGCGGCCTTGTGAGGGCCACAGGGACCTGCAAAGGCCTCTCTAATCTCTGCAGTTTACCAAAGACACCTTCCTTATTGTGCAAATTCCTCGGCTTCCTTTAGCAGCACAAATTTCTCCTACAGTAAAAGCCTCTGTTGCTTTAAATGAGTCCCTTTGTGGCCAGATTATATATTTTTTTACATATCCATGTTCCATGTTTTACTCCAAATCCTAACTGTAAGTCAGCGACAGGATGTTGGAGCCCACAACAGTGAATGCACAGATGAGAGAACAGCATTTTAGACGGGGAGAGAGGAAAACTTCCTGTGGCCGCCAACCAAAGGCTGCCAACAATAACCATCGTGCTCTGCTCTGTTGTGTTGTCTTGAAATCTGCTCTGCCGAATTAGTTAATCCATTACTTTAAAATTCAGCCTCACTCAAACTTTCGAGACCTTGGCAAAATGTAGACAAAGTCTTTGGTAGAATGTAATGTGAACGGCCTCCAGTCTAATTCCTAGTGCAGCCCTTGCTGCCATCTGAAGCCCCACACACAGTATTGTTCACATCTCCTGCACCACTGTTCCGAGTTTCCACCTGACTCATCCACTGAGTTCTGTTCAGCGGTCTAGGACTTCTGCTTCACACTGCAGACTATTCTGAAGTCTCCGGCAAGCCAGTTCCAAAATGCGAAGAACCACATGGTTGGTCGCATTTAGTCACAGCAACAATGCCATTTCTCTGGCACCAACTTTTTTGTTAGTCATCTTTTGTCAGTATCATCAAAATACCTGACAGAAACAAGGCAGGAATGATCTTCAGCCCATGAATGGTGTTGTCAGAAACTGTTCACTTCTCAGTGTCGACCAGGTATACCCTATAAAGATCTGCCCCTAGTAACAGACTTCAGCCCCACCTCTTAAAGGTACCACATGGTCCCCAACAGCACCCCCCCCCCCCAGCCACACACACACGCAGGAGAGCAAGCGCTCAAAACAGAGGCCTGTCGGAGACATTCAGATTCAAATCAAGCCTCCTGGGTGAGATAAAATCTACATGTGTACATCACATGGTCTCCTAGATTCCAGTTCATTCTGTACAGTGTCCTCAGTGGATTCACTGCAGTGTAGATGTGGTCTCAATGTTGTTTCAACTCCCCAGTTGCTTCCTTGACCCTTCAAAAAGAATCTTCCCCAGCTCTAACTAGAGAGAATACTAACAATTTCTCTAAATGCCCAAGGCACTCCCCATTAAAATCCAACTTCTGGGGTAACTGTTCTCTTTAAAGTGGTTATAAAGCTCTGTTTTTTCACCACAGGGATATTGTTTGATATAGAAAACATCTAGAAACATGAATGACTCCATCTGCTTTTTAATATTTTGGCCTATGCATCTCTGGAATTGGAAAATTAGTTCCATTATTGTTTGCTTACCTTTGCTGTTTTATGGAACACAATGATATGAAGCTGGTAATATATTTGTATTTTTGCCTCTGGCTTGTCAGATGAAATATTTTCACATAAGTACCCTCCTACATTAATATAAAATCTTTGTAAGCTTTGAGCAACTGATACCGAACTTTTTGCCCTTTAAGGCAGTACTGCCAATTTCTGTTTTTTAAACATCTGATCCCACATAAAGAAGGCTGGAAACAAAAAGTGCCTAGTCCTGGCAACCTCCTTCATTTCCTGCCCAACTAGAAATTCGAGTCCCAGAGTTATTTTTTTCTTCTGGACACTTCAAATCCCTCAGTTGTTAAAACTACTTCTCAATGCAGTTCTGAGTATTAAATAAGATACTTGGCAGCAAATCCCTTCATATTTGGGCAGATGAGCAGCTCTCCCATGAGGTAAGCATCCTTCCCTTCACCAGGACTCCTACACAGCCAAGCAAGAGCCAGCCTGTCCCAGGGAAGCAGATCAGTGGGGGAAGTAAGGGCTGCTCAGGCAAGCCCTTGCTCAACTGCCTGGCTTAGCAGAGTGCCAGAAGTAGGGGCCTCTTCTCCAGCCTCCAAATGGCATTTCTTCTCTAACCTGCTATTTAAATTTACACTAACATGGATTTTTCAATCACTCCAGCTTTCACAGTTGAGAGCCTTATAAGAGAACTTTTAATAAGCACCTATGGGATCAGTCCTGAAATGGTGAATTATTTTCTACTTACACAAAACTCCTCTTCAGAGACAGAAAGTAAGGAACAAGTGGGAGTGGAATAGGAAGAGGCCCAAGAAAAAAAGCCTCCTGTGCTATGCAGTCGACCCATCCCACTTCTGTTTAGGGCTGTGTAATTGTAGCGGGAAAACTATGATCTATTCTATACCTGCTTGGCAGAGACTGGGTCAGAGGATCCAAGGGAAGTCTTTGCATAAGTCATTCTGTGTTGTACGGAGGCTGCTTGTTCGTTTCCCAGCCGCTCAGACTCCCAAAGTAATCACACAGAAACCATACTAATTGAAATACTGTTTGGCCAATAGCTTAAGCGTATTTCTGGCTAACTCATATCCTAAACTAACACACCTCCATTAATCTGTATATCGCCATGTGGTTTACTAGGTAAAGTTCTGTCTGGCGTCTGTCTCCGGCAGGGTCTACATGGCTTCTCCTTGACTCTGCCTTCTTTCTCCCATCATTCGATTTAGTTTTCCCTGCCTAGCTCTGTTCTACCCTATCACAGGCCCAAAACAGCTTTTTTTTTTTTTTTAGATATTTATGATTTTATTTATTTACTTTTCTATTTAATTTTTTTGCAGTTTTTGTGGTTTTATTTAAACACAAATAAAACATGCATGCAAGCAATCTACTCATTCTCTTCACTGCGTAGCCTGGCGTTGGGACTGGTGACTCTGAAGGCCAGCTGTGCTGCTCTTTCTATCATGGCTTTTCGGTTCTTGGAAGAAACATTGTGAGCGATCTCAGCACAGTAAGATTTGTTGCACATCAGCAGCACCTCCAGCTCCTTGACGTTGTGGACCAGAAACTTCCGGAAGCCGCTAGGCAGCATGTGTTTGGTTTTCTTGTTGTTCCTGTAACCAATGTTGGGCATCAGGATCTGGCCCTTGAATCTTCTCCGCACCCTGTTGTCAATACCTCTGGGTTTCCGCCAGTTTCGCTTAATCTTGACATATCGATCTGACTGGTGCCGAATGAACTTCTTGGTCCTCTTTTTGACGATCTTCAGCTTCACCAGAGGTCGGAGGGCAGCCATGATGCCGCAAAGGAGATGGCAGCCACCTTGCAGGTAGCACCGAGGAAGAAGGAAGCTTCTATTTAATTTTTTAAAAATTATTAGTTCTTTGAGAATTTCATTCAATGTGTTTTGATCGTTTCCACCCTTCAACTCCTCCTATATCCACACCCCTTCCCTACCCAACCAAATCTGTATCATTCTTTTTATTATTTATTTATTTATTAAAAATTTCCACCTCCTCCCCGCTTCCTTCTCCCTCCCCCTCCTCACCTCCCCCTCCCTCTCTAGTCCTAAGCAGTCAGGATTCCCTGCCCCGCGGGAAGTTCAGGGTCCTCCCTTCTCCACCCAGGTCTATAAAGGTGAGCATCCAAACAAATCAGGCTCCCACAAAGTCAGTCCATGTGGTAGAATCAAAACCCAGTGCCTTTGTCCTTGGCTTCTCAGTCAGCGCCCATTGACAGCCACATTCAGAGGGTCCAGTTTGATCACATGCTACATCACTCCCAGTCCAGCTGGCCTTGGTGAGATCAGTCCCACCGTCTCAGTGGGTGGATGCACCCCTCATGGTCCTGACTTCCTTACTCATGTTTTCCCTCCTTCTGCTCTTCATTTGGACTTTGGGAGCTCAGTCCAGTACTCCAGTGTGGGTCTCTGTCTCTATCTCCATCCATCACCAGATGAAGGTTCTATGGAGATATGCAAGGTATTGATCAGTGTGGCTATGGGACAAGGCCAGTTCAGGCACCCTCTCCTCCGTTGCCCAAGAAACAATCTGGGGATCTCTCCTTGGACCTGGGAACCCCTCTAGAGTCAAGACAGATTCTTTATTAAACAATGGTATTCACAGCACACAGAGGGGAACCCCACATCAATTCTGTCTTTTTCCAGGCCTCGAGTTAGCTTCCCTTTTACCAGGTTGCAAGGCTGATAGAATCCAGGGTAGTCAGCTGATCCTGTCTACCTAAGACTTGGCCAGATTCCCTATGCCATACTAACACTGCAGCTTTTCCACCCACTGTGCCTCCTGGACACACTTGGGCATGCTCCTGCTGGCCTGTGAGTCACGATAGCGCTTTCAGAGAGGTGCTGACTGCAAGCTGCACTCTGGCTTTATTTGAGATCCCGGAAGTCAAGGAGGTATAGCACACACAATGGCCATGCTAAGAGGCAGAACCTTGGACCAGAACTACTGCTTCTCTTGGGACCGCCATTTCCTCAACTCTAAAGACTGTCCCTGGACTCTTATTAAAGCAGTTATCCTTAAGAACGGAGCAGGATGTGGCAAGAAAGTTTAGGGTCACTGTCAGAACCATCTTCACGTCTTAGGGGGTTCCAGTTCCTTCTCTAGCTGCTCTGGTCTGTCTCCTCCCTTTCTTAGCTTCCATCTTGCACCTTGTATGTAGCCCTGCTTGTTTATGGGCTCATCACATCACTCTCCTGGGAACCCCTAACCACTGCAGCCCCGCATATGCTTCTTGTTTGAATTCCAAAGAGAAAAACAGTGTTGGGGATTGAACTGTGTCCCTCAAAAAACACATGCTCAATTTCTAACCCCTGGGGATAATAAGCCAGACATATCTGGAAATCAGATCGTTGTAGATGTGATCAAATGATGATGAGGTCGTACTACATTAGCGTGGGTGCTCAATGTAATACGACCAGTGTCCTTACAAGAAGAAATCACATTCTATCATAGCAAAAAGACACACAAGGAGAAAGCCATGCAACAGGAGAGGCAATGGCTGAAATTCAGTGCCCACAAGCTCAAGGGCATGAGGGATTCGGGGCCATTGCCAGATGCTAAAAGAAACAAGACCATTTCTAGTGTGTCTGGAGGCATCAGATCCTGCAGAGACCTTGATCTTGGATTTCAGAATAAATTCTGGCTGCTCTAAATCACCTAATGGCACTTTGCTGCAACTGTCCTGGAAAATTAATCTATGCAACTTATCTTACGATGCCAAGCCAGCCCATCTGTAAGCAGCTTGGTTCACTGTTCTACCCAGTCAGACATGGCCTAGAGTTGGGCAATGTGATCCAGTTGCAGTCCCTTAGGCAGTGAGGCTAGATACAGAGCAATATCCTTATAGAGAAGCAGGAGCCAGGGAGGTATCTTCTGGAAGTCCCATCACCAATGAAGTGATTTTAAATTTGCTTCCTTCCTGAAAACACACACTACCTAGGGGCCCCTGGCAAATCTGGCCATATTCCAATCCAAGCAATATTTTTGTTATTGTTTTGTTTGCCAAAGCATTCTTTTTATTGTAAATAATTTTCCCGTCCACAGTTTCCTAGAAATTGTTCCATTAAATAAGAAGCATGTTGGTTACTGTGTGGACATACCCCTGTTCTCAGACAGATGCAGCAATGGTGCGTCTGGGCAGGCAGCCACAGGAAGGAAAATGCATCTGGATTGACCTTGAACACAAATTCACCTCACACATCCAGAGGCAAAGGATCTTAAGGGGGACTAAGGATCTCACTCAGAGAGTTAAATAGAGCTAGCATCCATGCCAAGGGATGTAAGGAAAGAAAAATGACGCATGGCCTGCGGCTCTGTAGGCTGGATGGACACAGGTGGCAAAATATGAAAGAACACAGTATAAAGTCAAGACCATAAATGATGAGTGTGTGCAAGAATCTCTCTCATGTCCCATGGCATGGGATTCCAGGTTAAAACAGTTTTTGTTTTTCAGCATGTGATAGGCAGCTTATGACTCTATTCCATAGATATTTTTATATGTGGAATTAACTTTTTTTTATTACAGTTATTCTTTGTGTGTATGTGTGTATACATGCCACATACAACACACATGTGGAAGTCAGAGAACAACTTGAGGGCATTGATTCTTTATTTCTTTCCACTATGTGGGTCTTAGGGATTGAATTTAGGCTGTCAGGCTTGGTGGCAAGTGCCTTAACCTCTTGAGTCATATTTAACTTTTCATAATGGGGACACCATTTCTTGATATGTTAGAATTCTACATTGTGATAACAGCAATGAATATTAACTATTGAGATAATAATAGAACCAAGCACTGTGAGTTACTGACAGGCTTGCTGGAGTGTAACCTGCCACCTACTGGGACAGAACTTCCCTGGTGCACTTTAAAGCTCTTGTTTCCAGTCATATGATAGAGCACCTTTACTCTAGCAAGATGGGGGACTCGTTGAGGTTTACGTCAGGTCTGATGCCAACAGTGGCTGAGGTCTGGATCTTTCAGTTAGATCCCCTGTAGGGATCCGAGCTCTCACCTCTGTGGGCACCTTTGCAGGGGAAGTTGTGGTTGTCTTTTTTTTTTTTTTAAACTCTTTAGGGGCTCAGCTCCTGGCTCCCAAATAAATACGCAGAGACTTATTCTTACTTATGAGTGCCTGGCTTTAGCTTAACTTCTTTCCAGCCAACCTTTCTAATTTATATTATCTCATTTCTCTTTAGCTACATTTTGCCTCTGGGTTTTTTTTCTTTTTAATTCTATATGCCTTTTTTTCCTTCTTACTCTGTGACTGGTTATATGGCTGGGTGGCTAACCCCTGGCATCCTCTCCCCCCCTTTCTCTCTTCTCTCTCCCTCTTTCTCTCTCTATTTTCCCTCTTATTCTCTCTGCCTGGCAGCCCCACCTATCCCTCTCTCCTGCCTAGCTATTGGCTGTTCAGCTTTTTATTAGACCAATAAGGTATTTTAGACAAAGTAACACAGATTCTCAAAGTTAAGCAAATGTAACATAAAAGGATGCAACACTTCTTTGCATCATTAAACAAATGTACCATAGCATAAACGAGTGTAACACATCTTAAACTAATATTATACCACAGAGGGTTGCTTACCTTGGCTTTTCTACTTGGACAACATTTTGCAGGATGTCAAATGTTGCCCATGCACAGACAGCTCAACTCTCTGGTACTCAAAGGATAGCTGGTGTGGAGTCATCCTAAGAAGCAGGCAAGGGCAGGAAACACTAGCACCAATCAGACAGTAAACTGAGGACTTGCAGAGTACATTAAGAGAATCCATTCCGAAAGGATTGGTCCCGACTGGGGGGTGCTGTCCTGGTGAGAGGGAGGACATAAGCAGAGGGTAAGACGAAGGCAGAGAGGCATGGGCAGGATGAGGGATGTCCCATGTTGTGAGTGATGACATCACCATTAGCTCAACAGCGCCAGGAAACAAAGCAACACGATACCCATAGATCCAGATCTGCTCTAATTCCAACAGAGTACAAAAATCATAGTGTTGTAAGAAATCAATCAAGGACGGAACAGTTCATGGTAAAAAGCTCAAGGAACTGGTTTTTGGACCTTAACAAAAGGGTGACAATACAAAAATTTTTCATATGTACTGATAATTAGCAACTATATAGATCCTTACCCATTATTCTAAATTTTCTTTGACAGAGAGAGAGATACCCATCTCACATGGGTCCATGATTTAGGGACATATTTTAAATTAATTTTGTACACGTGCAGAATACCTTGGAAAACACTAGTCTACGGTATCCTAATCCTCTCTTGATCCACCATGGGAAAAGGTGAAACATGTACTTTCTTTCTTTAAAGATTAATTTATGTAATGTGTCTATGAGTGCCCAGGTGTACAATGTGCATCAGGTGCTCGCAGATGTCCACAGAGGTCAGAAGAGGGCACCAGATGCTCTGGAACTGGAATTATAGTTGAAATTGCAACAGGAGTTGAGCCCGTGTCCTCCGCAAGAGCAGTGAATGAGCTTTGCTGCTGAGCCATCCCGCCCACCCTGTCGGACATCTGCTTCCTAAGAAAAACTCCTTGGCTCAGGACCTTGCTCTCTTGCCTCCTTCATTCATCTCCCATGCGTCATATCGTCCTTTCTGTTGCTTCTGTTCCTTCTCTACGAACTCGAGTTTTTCTTTTTTCTAGACCCTACTGTCCTACTGACTCACCCCATGAGTCACACCCCCTTCCCCATCACTCTTGGAAAGAATACTTCCCAGTTTCTGCATATGTCTGTACAAAGCTTTTGTAATTCTTCTATCATACCTGGTTTCCCCCACTTTTGTCCTGTCCCTCCTTGGGTCCTGTCTGTGAGCTGTTTTATTTACTCTTAAGGCAGCCTCGACCTGTTTTGGGAACACATTCTGAACATAAGTCTTTCCACATACCCATAAAACATCTCTTCCTTTCTGATCTCAAGCTACAAACCCAAATCTACCACTGTACTCCACAGCGTATGAGTCCTGTCCTCTGCACTCACTGGACTCTTCAGTTGGATGGCTGAGGATGAGGACATGGTGCGAGAAGAAGTTCCACCTTCTCCCTACTGAGATCCACATAGCCTGCCTCTAAAAAGTCTAGAGAGTTCTCTCTTGCTCATTCGCAGCCAATCCACAGTCCCATCTGTTCCCTGTCTCCATCATCTTGCCTTTTCTAGAACGTTTAGGCAAATAGGACCACTCACAATATGTAGTTGTCAAGTCTGGTGTCTTTTTCTTAGCATATTGTTTTGGGATTGATCCATGTTATGGCAAATATTAGTATCTTGTTCCTTTTATAACAGAGCAGCATTCCACAGAGACACTGCACAGTTTCTTTCTCCATTTGCCTTATGCTGGGACGTTTGATTACTTCTAACTCAGGGCTACCGTGAGCGACATCATGAACTTTGCTGTGCACACCTAGTGAAGGTGTGCTGTAACATCCTTGCCTGGGCGTGAGTTGCAGATGCTATGCTCAGTCTATGCTTCACTTAAAAAATTATTAGTATGTTTTTCTGAAGTGGCTACAACACTTTACATCCTAACATTTGTTCTAATTCAGTCACATTCCAATCCAGTTTCTCCATATCCTTGCCAACAGCTGGTACTGAAATTCATTTTCATTATGGCAAGTCCCATGAATATGAGGCCGATTCTTGTGATTCTGAATTGCACTTTCTGTTGGATAATGATATCAACTATATTTTTACACAAGTAGATACCTTCTGTAATGAAATGTAATTTTCTCATGTTTAAAACTATATTGTCTGCTAGTCTACAGAAACACAACCAATTTTTATAAATTGATCTGCTATTCTACAATAATGACAAACTTCACGGGAATGGATTTTCTGGATTCCTTAGGATGTTCTCTACCAACGATCACAATAATCTTTCCATTTCCTTTCCCACCGCAGTCTTTACATTGCTTTTCTTCTCTTTTGTCCCAGTTATAGCTCCAGGAAAAGCTGCTGCAGCCTTGTCCCTGCCCTTTCAGGAGGCTCACCCCACCTCTCATAGTCACTGGCTGCCACCTGCAGCTGTCCTGTCTGTACTCCCTCTCAGAGTAAGGCATCACCTTCTATTCTTAGTGTGCTCACGCTTAATCAAGAATAGAGCTCCAATTTCATGTTGTTGCTGGGAAGAAACACTTTGACCAAAAGTAACTTAGGGAGGAAAGGCTTTACTTTCTTACACATCCAGGTCACAGTCAGGGGACTCAGAGCAGGAACAACTGGAGACAAGAACCATGGAGGAACACTCCTGGCCCTCTGGATTGCCCAGTGGCTCATGATTAGCTAGCTTTTTTTTACCCAGTCCAGGGCCACCTGCCTAAAGGACAGTGCTACTTGTAGTGGGCGGGGCCTTCCTGCACCAACTACCAGTTCAAACACCCCCCGCCCCCACCGCCAGACAAACACAGGGCAATCTGATGTAGGTATCCCTCAGTGGAAGCTTCATTAGTTATTAGGTAACTCTGGGCTTGTTCAAGTTGACAGTTAAAGAAAACTGGAACAAATGGTTTTTAGATTTCCTGATTCTACTGGGATGGTAATTCTTTAAATCTCCTTTACTCTATTAATATAACGTATCCTGTTTATTGCCATGGTTTACCTTGCATTCTTGAATATGGTATACTTGTTTAAGATGTATAATTGTCACATTTTGCTGTTTATTTTTATAATATTTTATTAAAGTTCTCTGAACCTATGTTCACGAACCTGGTTTTATATTTTTATGAAGCTTGCATCTGGTTAGGCGTCAACAGGATGCTGACCTCTTGAGAGGAGTTGGGAAGGATGAGTCCCTTCTGTTTTCTGAAAGAGCTTGTTTAGTATTGATGTCATTGCTTTCTTAAAAGTTTGGGAAGTTAACAAATATAACCACCTGGTCCTAATTTAATTAGAAATTAAAATTTTCTTATTATAGATCTAAAATCCTCCTCCTCTTTCTCATCTTCTCTCTCTTTCTCTTGCTCCTCCTGTTTTTCCTTGAGGCCCGGTTTCTCCATGTAGACTAAACTGACTGCAAACTCACAATACCCTGCTTCGGTTTCCCAGGTGTACACCGCCACGCCCAGCTTAGGTTCCCAGGTGTACACAGCCACACCCAGCTTAGGTTCCCAGGTATACACAGCCACGCCCAGCTTAGGTTCCCAGGTGTACACCACCATGCCCAGCTTAGGTTCCCAGGTGTACACCGCCACGCCCAGCTTAGGTTCCCAGGTGTACACCACCATGCCCAGCTTAGGTTCCCAGGTGTACACCACCATGCCCAGCTTCTTTGTTCTTGAATCAGACTGGGTAATTTATATATTTCTATGTTTGTGCATTCTACTGTAGAAATGAGCTACTGAGCTTTTTTGTATAATAATTTGGGAGATTCTCTTGAAAACGGCAGAGCTGAGTTGATGACTTTGCATCCATGGCTTTGGCGACAGAGAGAGCATAGCGGATGGGCCTCTAGAAGAGACTACCGCTCTAACCCTGGGAAAGAGAAAGAGAGAGAGAGAGACAGAGAGACAACAGCAGCCTACCTTCTGTAAGGTTGTGTGGTACCACACCTGGGAGCAGGTACCACACCTGGGGGCAGGCACCACACCTGGGAGCAGGTACCACATATGGGGGCAGCAGAGAGCCCAGCCTGGCGGCTTCTGTTTGATTCCTCACTGTTGTCCTTGTCTTCAGCCAACTTTTCAATCCTCTGCCTGCTTTCCGTGTGGTCTGGAGAGTTGGTAAAGGGCCTGGGTGGGAAGAAAGGAGGATTATTTGTTTGTTTGCTTGTTTAAGGCAACAGCAGAGAAGCCAGCTACTAGATATCCAGAGTTGACTTCTGGACTTAGCACACCCTCACTTCAGAAGAGGACAGAGGTGACAGCTGCACCATCAGCTAAATAGATATCCTCAATAGTTTCTAGAGATTTCTTTGAGAAGCCATAAAACCATTTCATCTAAGAAATCAAGATTGTGGGCTGTGTAATAAGGGGAACAGAAAAGAAATTAAAAGTATCTTTATTTGACAGCCATTGAAGCAGCAAAACCAGGGTCTACCAGTCACATGCTGTAATATATTACCAGCACTGAAGACCCTCATCCACAGGGAGTGGTGTCAGGGTGCTAGATACCGTTCTCAAACTGAAACCATGCAGATAAAGTTTCTCCTTCCTTCCCTCCCACCCTCTCTCCCTCCTCCCCATACACACACAAGATTCCTCTTCTTGAACAATATTTGTCTGTTAAGTGTATGTATCAGCTCACCCAGAGATGTCATTTGCTATAAAGAAATAGCTGTTAACTATAGAACTCAAGATCACATGATAAATAGGTAGAGATAGAGATTTGGGGATCATTTGGTATAAACTTTTGGATCTCTTAGATCACACATGCAGATCACACTGCAATGTGTTTATCATACATGAAGTTTCATAATAAGCTTCATTGTTTTTGGTTTGTTTGTTTGAGACAGGGACTCTCTATGTAGCCCTGGCTGTCCTGTCTATTTAGATCAGACTGGCCTCAAACTCATAGAGATTCACCTGCCTCTGCCTCCTGAGAGCTGGGATTAAAGATTTGCTCCACTACACCAGGCCATAAATCTCATCCTGAATCAAGCAGAACAGCCAGCCAGGTGAGCCTAGAGGAGTCTGTGAAAAGAGCATTTAAACCTCATTAGCAGCCCCACTCAGGCGGTCTTTGCATGTCCAATTGCTTCCCTATGAAACGCCTGTGCATCCATCCAGAGAAAACAGATTTCTTCCCTGACCCCAGAGAGATTAGTCGAAACAGGGATTTATTTCTCACCATCCTCTATGGAGCCTCATTCATACTGAAAGAGACACAGAAGGTGAGTGAAGAAAGCTGGTGAATCCGACGTCTCAGGGAGCCTGCACTGTGCCCCATGAGGAGGGGACTCCCTCCACATCAGGTGTTCTTAAGAAAACAGACACTAGGACAAGACATAACTGGACAGGGTCTTGGTGTGATAACTGTGTAGTTCCTAATCTCCCCAGGTTTTCATATGACTCAGCCCTCCCACCTTGGCCCTATCTGTGCTCAATTGTGGGGGTGTGGAAGGTAGGAAGACAGAGGTGTGTGGAAGGTTGGAGGGGTTCTGTTTTCCTGAACATGCCAACTGGAAAGGTAGGGCTGGGGAGGGGGAGGTACAGGGCCACTGTATGTGACCAGGGTGGGTGCTGCTGGGGTCATTCTCAGAGAGACTGAAAGGTGTGAGAGTGAGAGGCATAGATGGCCTGGCAGGAGCAAGACCAGGGTTCTGCTTCAGGAGAGAGGTCTACAGTCATAGAGAGGCCTTGGGGAGATACAACTCAGGACAGAATCTAGATGGAAGAAGTTGTAGTCCCGGGATTTCAGGCCTCTGTGAGGAGAATGTTCACTGAAGTTGCTTGCCATGCAAGCATGAGGTCGTGAGATGCCTACAGAGGTGGAGACGAGAGGATTTGCGGTCGCCATGTTCCCAGGGAAAATAGCC